GCAATTGGTTAGCACATAGTACCTATACAGCAGAAATGATAGTTTTTAAAAAGGCATTTTCTGATGTTGGGAAAATTGGGCAGCCACAGACAAAGAAATGAAACTGGATCCCTATTTTGCACTACATACAAAAATCAACTGCCCTAACCGGTTTGGTTCAGTGGATGGAGCGTCGGCCTGTGGACTGAAAGGTCCCAGGTTTGATTCCGGTCTAGGGCATGTACCTTGGTTGCGGGCACATCCCCAGTAGGAGGTGTGCAGGAGGCAGCTGATCGATGTTTCTCTCTCATCGATGTTCCTAACTCTCTATCCTTCTCCCTTCCTCTCTGTAAAAAAATCAATAAAATATATTTAAAAAATCAACTTAAAATGAATTTAAGACTTGAACTTAAGACCTGATGATACTATAAAACTCCTACAAGAAAACAGAGGGTAAGCTTCTTGACATTGGTCTTGGCAATAATTTTTTGGACTTGACACCAAAAACAAAGGCAACAAAAGCAAAAATAAACAAGTGTGACTACATTAAACTATAAAGCTTTTGTACAGCAAAGGAAACGATTAACAAAATGAAAAGGGAACCTATGGAATGAGAAAAAAAATTTGTAAACCACATATCCAATAAGGGGTTAATATCCAAAATATACAAGAAGCTCATACACCTCAAAGCAAAAAAAACAAACCAAATAAAAATAGGTAGAGGATCTACACTAATAAAAGACAAAGACGCAAATTGACAGTACCTTCGCTATGCCTTAAGCCACACCCACCAGCCAATCAGAGCGACTGTATGCAAATTAACCCAACCAAGATGGCGGCCAGCAGCCATGGAGCTGGAGCAAGCAGAAGGCTTGGTTGCCCCAATGATGGAGGAAGCCAAGCTTCCTGGACAGCTGCTGCCTCCTCTCAAGGCAACAAAGTTTCAATTATAAAAGGTAAATAAACCCCAGATACCTGCTTCCAGCCGCCATGGCCACAGAGCTGGAGTGAGCAAGATTGTTGGTTGCCCCAGCGATGGAAGAAGCCAAGCTTCCCAGCCGGCTGCTGTCTCCTCTCAAGGCAACAAAGTTTCAATTATAGAAGGTAAATAAACCCCAGATACCTGCTTCCAGC